CATGCGTGCACACACATAATAAACAGTTTCTTTTTAGTCTTTTTGAGACAGGGTCTCCCTGTAGTCCCTGCTGGTCTGGAACTCTCTAAGTGGACCAGGGTAGCCTCAAACTCACAGAGCTCCACCGGCCTCTGCCTCTGGAGTGCTGGGATTAAAGGCGTGTGCCACCACACCCAGCTTACAAACAAATAATTTTTTGAGTCAGGGTTTCACTGTATAGCCTTAGCTGGCCTAGAACTCACTATGTAGACCAAGCTGGCCTTGAATGCACAGAAGCCTCCTGCCTCCTGAGGCTGGGCTTAAAGGTGGGTGCCACCCACACCCACCCATAAATAATGTTTCTTAAACAAAGAATTGTTGGGTGTGGTAGTAGACACCTGTCATCCCGGCACTTGAAAGACTGAGGCAGGAGGAACACTACAAGTTCTAGACCAGATCTCAAGAAAAAAAAGTTGGTTCAAATACCACTGCACACAGACATTGCACACAAAGACAATGGTCATTGAGCTGTTGGCTGGATGAAGCCATACAGCAGAATACACACCACACATTTCCGTTTCCTGAGAGTTTGAGCATGGACAGCATTAGCCAGAGGAGACAGGTGGGAAGAGAGCAGAGCTCGGGGAATTGTTCTGTCTTCTTAAGTGTGTGCAATTGTCAAAACCCATCCGCACCCACAGTGGCTGTACTGTTTTCACTCCCACGAGCAGTGATACGTTCTTCTTCCCCGTTGCCTCGCCAGCATCTGTTGCCATTTGTTTCCTTGATTCTGGCTGGGGTGCGATGAAATTTCAAAGCAGTTTTATTTCAAATTTCCCCGATGTGTGGAAGTTTATCAAAAACTAAAAACGGGGCTACCATATGACCCAGCTACACCACTTGTGGGTGCCCTTAGTCAACATTCTGCAGAGACGCCTGTACATCCGTGTTTGCTGCTCTTTTCACAGTAGCCAGGAAATGGAACCAGTCTAGATATCCATCAGCAGACGGAGAAAACATAGGAAATCTACAGAATGGAACTTTATTCAACCATAAAGAAAAACAAAATCATGACATTTTGCAGAAAAATGGATGAAAGAAGAAATCACTGTTAAATGAAATCAGGGAGAATCAGAATAAATGGTGCGTGTTTTCTCTTGTCTTCAGAATCTAGATTTGTGTTTGCTGTGCGTGTGTGTGCATGTGTGCATGCACATGTAAGATATGAAACTAAAAAGCTAGGGGCTAGAGATACGCTTCAGCAGTAGGTGCTGCACAAGCACTCGGACGAGATGTAAGCACCTGTGTAACAAGCCAGGTCTGGTCCCCGGCATGCCTGCAACACCAGCACTAAGAAAGATCTCTGGGGCTTGCTGGCTTCTAGAGTAACTGAAAAACAGGAACTCTAGGTTCAGAGAGAGACCCTGCCTCAAGGAACAAGGTGAAGAGTGAAGACATGGGGCACCCTCTTCTTGCCTCCACACATACACACACACACACACACACACACACACACACACACATGAGAGCAAGAGAGTCATGGGAGAGGAGAGAAAGATAAGATCTTAAGGGGGCGGAACCCACGGTGCAATGGGATGCTTGTGAGGAACTCAGAATCATGTCTATTTTGGGGCAATGAAGGTAGTCAGAAAGATGGAGGCAGGCAGATGGTGGAGGGAGGATGGTGGAGGGGGGATGGAGGAGGGGGATGGTGGAGGAGGATGGCAGAGGATGGTGGAGGAGGATGGTGGAGGATGGCGGAGGGGGATGGCGGAGGGGGGATGGCGGCAGAGGGGGATGGATTAGAAGAAAGTATGATGGACTGGAGAGATGGCTCCGTGGTTAAGAGCACTGGCTGCTCTTGCAGAGGACCCAGGTTCAGTTCCCAGCACCCACGTGGCTGCTACCAAGCATCAATAGCCCCAGTTCCAGGGGGTCATCTTCCGGCCTCTGCAGGCATTGCACAACATGAGTGCACTTACATACATGCAGCAGTACTAATACACAAAAAATGCAATAATAAAACCTATTTCTTTGAATGCTGTCTTTAAAAATTAAGAAAACTATCAGCCCGAACTGTGTGCCTGGGGCTGCGGAGGATGAATTCTGGAAGGGACTGAGGTCCAGCTTTCTGGGAGAACAGAGTTCTGTGGATGGTGATGGCACACAGCGGTGTGAATGTTCTTAGCACCCTGGACCGGACGCTTCAATGTTGAGAGGTAGATGTGTATTTGATCACAACAGTCTGTTTAAAATGGGACTGGAGGGTGTGGTTCCGTGGTAGAGCGATTGCCTAGTGTGCACAAACCTGGGTTCAAACCCTGGCACCGCTACACTAATAACGGTGATGATATTTTCAAGGAACTAAGCAGAAAAGAGCCATCTGCTCCAACACCCCGGATAGACATTTCATTACCTTACTTGGACTCAGAAGTCCGGCCGAACAACACACGGGCATGGACAGGTCATATGTCGCATCTGCTGAAGCAGCAAACTGTACTTCAGCAAGAAGGACACCCGCATTTTCTGCTGGACAGGGGTCCGCCTCTGGCAACCCCCAAGCTGCAGCCCTCCGCTGGGGGCGACAGAGGGCGCGCGCGAGCAGTGCAGCACCAGCAGGACCCTGGGTGAGCTTCCCATCTAGTCAAGCCACAGGGAATCCACCTTGGCCAGGGTCCCGGATCACACCAAGGACCCCAAGGGTCGGAGCTGGCCAGGTGCTCTCAGTTGTGGGGTGCAGAGCCGAGTGGACCACCCTGGCTTAGACTTTGTCCTCCCTTGACATAGCAGTACTCAACACAGAGGAGGGTAGCACCCTGAGACTGCTGGGTGACTCCAGCTGCTTTCCAACCCCACCGCAAAAGGGAAGTAGATAGTCGCAGCTCTGAGACTACACAGTTTGGGGGTGTGATCTCCAATGGCCAGCACCCCAGAAGAAGGTTGTCCCTCACTAGTGAGGATGTGAGGGAGCGAAGTGAAGGGGGAGGGGAGACAACCCAGCACCCAGCACCTCCAGGGCTGCTGGCTCTGAAAAGGTACTCAGGTAGAGATCCACCGTGTGTGTTGTGTGTGTGTGTGTGTGTGTGTGTGTGTGTGTGTGTGTAAGACAGAGACTGAAAGAGACAGACTAGTCTGGGAGTTCTGTCAGAATGTTGTATGAGCTCAGTATAGCTATGAGTGCGGCCCAACACAAAATCATAAATTTACTTAAAATACTTAAAAAATTTTGGTAGCGGGGCATGGTGGCACAAACCTTTAATCCTAGCACTAGGGAGGCAGAGGAAGGCGGATCCCTGTGAGATCAATTCAGCCTGGTGTACATAGTAAGTTCCAGACCAGCTGGGGTTACAGGGAGACCCAATTTCAAAACAACGACAGAAACAACAAAAAACCCCAAAAGCATAAACTTTGATCTGACAATTATCGAATCCCAATGTCAAAAGGTTAGACACGTCAGGTAGGGTTTAAAGTGCTTAATCATGCCAGGCATGGCGCACACCTTTCATTCTAGCACTTGGGAAGCAGAGGCAGGCAGATCTTTGTGAGTTCGAGGCCAGCCTGGTCTACATAGTGAGTTCCAGGACAGCTGGGGCTACAGGGAGACCCTGTCTCAAAAAGACCAAAAGAACAAAAAGTGCTTAATCATATGAGAAATGACTATTGTGATATAAAAATATGGGAAGGCCCTCCCATGGGAGTAGGGAAAGCTGCATGTCACCCCACCCAAGTTTCCAGAAAGGCCCCTAGGTCACCTGAATGCTTAGTGCACTGGCCTGGCAGGAATCTGCCACAGTACTTCCAACGTGACTGTCCATGGACATGCTCTGCTAGGGTCCCCAGTGGGCTTGTCCTGGGCCAGGTCAATCATCATGCGCCCCCCACACACACACCAGGAGACTGACAGCCCTCATACCTGCAGGTCCAGAGTCCTTCAGGGCCTTCTGCTGCCTCCTCAGCTACCTCACACATCCCTGTCACCGGCTCAGCCTGAATTGCTTTGCTTCTCCAGGGCAGAGACCCAGCAGCACTTGGGCAATCCTCACCCCCACACCAACCTGGGCAAACATCCAAGTGGAGTTGGCATCTTCAGCCTCAAGGGCCTTCTCCAGCGGGAGTTCCATTCAGTGCCCCGTCTGGAACAGAGAGAGGAGAGACCTGAGCCCAATGCCAACCCCAAACACCCCTAGGCTTCCCAGCTTCCTTCCTGGGCAACACTCCCAAGTTGTTTATTTATCCTGTGAGCCCTGGAAGCTTCTCCCTTCCAACCTGTACTCAACGGAGGCTAGACTCACAGACTCCCCTCAGGCTAGGTAGGGAGGTGTCTACAAGCAGCTCCTAAATACCCACTGTGAACCCAGCCAACAGAGATACAGTGAGGTAAAGGGGAAGGCCCCTGCAGAGCCTTGCTGGCACTCACCGTTGTCCTGCACCCACCACAGTAACACCGGGTGGTCCTTCCAGCCTGCTCCACTATCTGTGACACCCCCACCCCCATATCAGGGCTCCCTCTCTCCCTCCTTCCAATGAGAGACTGCACTCTCCAAGGGTGGAAGTTAAGATCCTCCAGGAGATTCATGTTAGCCAGGGACAAGGATGGGACAGGGGGCACCCCCAGTGTGTACCCAGCAACCTAGGCAGGGATGGTCAGGCATCGTGGTGTCTGCACTCAGAAGGCCAGTCTGGTCTACAGTAGTGAGTTTTAGGCCAGCCTGGGTTGGGGGGGGGTCGATATCCTTCAACACACCCAAAATAATTACCTTCAAAGATGCCCAGGGCTCCTCAACTCTCAGGCAAAGGTCTTTTCTTTCTGGGGTTACAGTTTGGTGCCTGCCCCAGGGCACCACTGAGGATTCTCTAGGTCAATACAAGATCTATCCGGCGAAGACTCACTGTGCATGTGCTCTGGGGCCTCACCAGCCTCTGTGTAGAGACCATACGCGGGCCCCTCTACCCATGCTCATCTGGGCCAGTCTGCCTCCAGTTGGTCCCTGTTTGCGGGCAGGTGGCCTGGGGTGACCTGAGTGCCCCTGTGTGTTTCCGCTCCAGGTGTAATACCCACGTTTTGTCTGAGCTCACGTGGCTGTGTTCGCACAGTGGTGGGCTAGGGCGGACACTTCACAGCCTGCACCGGGGATGTTAGGTGGGACCGGATGGTTTTCACTGGAACCTTAGAGGGCTGGGTGTCAAAGGTGGCTGGCGGCAGAGCCGCCCTGGGGAACACTGATCACTCCGGAGCCCCGCCTCCAGAGCTCCAGGATGAGTGACCCGGGGCAAACCACGTTGCCTCCGAGCTTTTCTAGCCAGGTGAAGATCTGGGTCCCACCTCCAGGGGTCGTGGAGAGGGCAAACGTGGGCTCGGCAGGTAAGGCGCTAGGCGGGCCTGGCTCACTGCGAGCGCGCGGAGGGTGCGGGTGGACGCACTGGGTCCTGGGAGAGCTCTCCCGGCACGAACAAAGACGGGGGCAGGTGGGGGGAGCCGGAGACAGCTCCAGCCGGGGTGGCTGGGAAAGGAGGACCGTCGCACGCAGGGACAGAAGATCCGGGACCTCGGGGCCACCGGGAGCCCTGGGCTGGGAAGGCTTCCTGGAGGTGGGGGCCCCCAGCACCGCGCGCGCCAGGATGGGACACCGCAGCGCGCATGGCCACTTTAAGAGCCGGAGCAGCACCGGGCGCACCGGGCGCGAGGGGTGGAGGGCGGTGGCGGAGAGACCCGGGGCTCGGCACCCAGCGCCCGGCTCCGCTGACGTCACCTGCCCCGGAGCCGCTCGCTCTGATTGGCTGCAGGTGACGTCAGGGGCTTTTTCGCTCCGCATGACCTCATCCCCGCCGGCAGCCCGGCCCTCCGCCCCGGGCCTGTCACTCGCGGCTCCC